AAGGAGTAAAGAACAGTGATGTATAAAGGTGTAAAGACAGTGCCCAAGATGGAGTAAGTTTAACTGTAATCAGAAAGACAAAGGAAAGAAAACAGTCTGTATACTTATGCACACACATAATTAACACTGAAAGGAAACAGAGCCAAGAGGTGCTTAGCAAGCTACCAGGTAGGAATTCTGGTCAAGGAGGGCTTGATGGCTTTCTGGAGTAGAAGACAAGATAAGTGTAGGCACATGTAGTGATGCAGACAGGATATTCAAAAGACATGCACTTTCTATATGCTCAAAAATATTTACTTTGAGAATAAAAGGGAACTTTTGTAGGATATTTGGAAATTACAGAAAAATGTCTTTAATCCCCTTAAGGCAACATATACTCAATATTTTGGCATTCATATTTGGAATTTGCATAGAAAAAAATAGTTACACTATGTAAAGTTACACATTTTCTTGTATGTACCTTTAAAGATGTGTTAAAACATGAGTAAAGGCTGTAAAACATTTTGTTCATTAGGCTGTATCATAACTTAACTATTGTAGACTGGGTCATTTAGGCTGCTTCCAATTTTTAAGTTTTAAAAACACTACAATTTACATATTCTTGCACATTAATCTTAGAGCATATCTCTTAATATTTCCTTTAGATAATTTAATTTTTAAGTAAAATCACCCAAAAGATATAAAATCTTTACCAATCAATGTATCCTACTAGGTTAGCTACATCATAATACCTTTACCAACAATGTCTAACCTGTCGATTTGATAAGTCATATATTCATTCATTTTTAAATCTGCATTCTGTGGATCACACATAAAACCATTTTGTACCCTATGCTTATTGGTTATTTTTTATTTTTATAAATAGTTGCTCTATATTAGCCTCTTTATGAGATCACTTATCTTTACTTCACTAGTGCCACAGCAACTACAAGTCTGTGTTTTCTTTGGTAAAAGCTTTCTCTTAATAGATGAGCACATGAGTAATGGCTGAAAACTGAATCTGAACAAAATCTTCATGGACTAAAAATTATTTGGGATTTTGAAAGAATATTTCTAAAGACCTCATGTGCACTTTCACATCTCTGAAGCTTTGTAAAGACTATATTCTCAACATATAAAACACAATCTTTCTTGTAAAAGCTTATCTCCTCCACACACTCTCTCCCTCAATTGAGGCGCTGACTCACCCCTCTCCTAAAAAGCAATGGCACACTGTGACTAAAGCATATGCAGTATTTTATTCATATTGATCTTCTCTCCCTAACTTGTGAAAACCTTATACAACCTTCCTAATTATCCAGTAGAACGCCAAATATCCTGAGTATTTTATACATTGGTCAATATCAAACACGCAGAGTTCATTTAATTACATATCTCATTTTCCAGAAGAGGAAACAACAGTTCAGATGAGTATCATTCTCATGGTCAAGGAAAACTAGGGCCAGACCACTCTTTCCTGATAACCAGTCCACTGACCAATCACACTCTCCATGCAGTCCACTGACGAATCACACTTTCCATTAACGCTACACAGTCGGTGACACCCTGCAGCACTGCTAAGCATTCTAGGAATGTTTCTAAATGAGAAAGATAAAATGAAATCTGAACTTTCAAATAAATCAGAACTGAAAGAATCAAATATGATTTATTTCAAAGCAGCGGCTCAGGAAAACTAAGCAAATATTTCAATGCGGCCCAGGAAAACTAAGCAAATACTTCAATGATGCTAGAGTGATTAAAGGAGTTTTATAATTTCTCTTTGAAAACTCCTATAGGGCCAGTTTATAAGAAATCATAATCCTTAAACTTAAGTCAATTCAATAATTGTACATAATTTTATATTCCAATTGATGTTACTCAAGTTTTCCCATTCATCTCAGCCTCTGGTATTAAATGACCGTTAGCTATTTCAAAAATTTATATCCAGCTTCAAAGCATCAAGATTTGCTATCACTTATGATATTTAAAGAGAAAATAAAATTCTGAAAGATGAGCTAAAGATGTTTAAAACAATGATGGCAATGTTAAGAGTAAATTCATAACCTCCCAAGGTATCTATCTATACTCCTTCTCTTTCCAAAGAGGACTGAGGTAGCTTTAATACTATTTTGAAAAAACACTTATATGCAGAAAAATGTTTTAAAGTATACCAGAGTGTAAATAATGATATCCAGTAAGGGATAGGATTATGACACATTTTAATTTTTGCTTACCTGGACTTTCTTAGATTCCTACTATAGATATGAAGCATTTATACAATTAAAAGTATGTATATATAAATATAAAACAAAAAGGTATATGTACATATATATTTTTAAATTCCAAAATCTAAGCATTAAAGATGCTTAATATAAATTTATACATCTTAATATTTAAGAGCTCAAAATTTGGCTCAGGAAGAAGTGTACGCCTACCTAGATCTATAAGAGGCAAGGTTTACAAAGAACATTGAGGTTGGGTTTTTCTTATCTCCTTACCCTTCTGTATAATTCTACAACTATCTATACAACTCAAAAAGGAAGCCTTGCTTATTATAAGTGAGCCACTACCCCTTGAAGTGTTTAAAGCACATTCCAACAGTAATTACATTGTTGATGGCCTGAAAATGGGTCACCCCACACAACTGATTAAAACTCTCTTATGCAATCTTCCTTTGGAGGAAACAAGGACAGCTTGTACAAATATTTCAACTAGATCTACTTCCTTAAGAGAAGATAGTACACATTTGTGGGTATTACAAAGTTCTAAAAGCACACAGAAAGACAAAGGAAAAATTATGAAGAAGTTAAATTAACCTAGTCATTTGTCCCAACCAATTTCTTATTACATCATTAATATAAGAAAATACATAGACTTCTGTTGCATCATTAGTTAATAAATAAACAATGTCTAAAGTGAAGATATTTTCACTTTGAAAGTTATGATGAAACAATTGTATTACCTGGAAAAATATGTTAAGACAAGGTTTGAGAAAGAACTACATTTCTACAGAATATATGTGATTGCATTTCTATAGACTCATGGTTAGTTTCAACAAGCTACACTGTTTCTTTTCTGACTAGGAATCTAGGGTAGCAAAACTAGGTTTAGCACGCCAATTTTAGTCTAAGTAAATAGGTGTTTATGAAATATCTTACACAGTTTGTATATTCTGTTTGTAAAGGTTTAAAGATCACATCACTCAACTGCATAAAGGTTTAAAATGCCTATATAAAAAAACACCCTAAAGTCCAGAGGTAAATGTGACACAGGGAACCATAACACGACAGAAAAGCCCTCCCAAACTGAGTGGAATCTACTACCCTAGAATGGCACTGGTGCAGGGCTATTGCCAACTACACAGATAGTAAAGCAGATATCCTTGGGGACTGTCTCAAAGACAAAACACCTCACAGCTCCTCTCCTACTTTACCATTTGATAACTCAGAGACCCTTGTAGCAATGGGGATACTTCCAACTCAGTTATCCACAAAGTACTTCTCAATTACTGAGTTCAGAAAACTCACCTAAGAGACCATAAAAGGAAACCACCAGTTTCTTCTTAAAACAGGCACTAACAGTTCCTAGCTTGAGAAGGAATAAGAGATGCCCTGTAGTCTTTTTATAGCATAAAGCTCTAAAGCATATAAAGTAGCTAGATGTCAGGGAAGAGGCTGCTGCATTCAATTGGGAATTAGTCTATGACTATCCTAACTTTTCTGCATTACTTATCCTAGGCAGAATTGTGGGGCTTAGAATCAAAGCATAAAGCTCACAGTGTCTTTGATCTACGTCTCTTAAAAACTCTTTTGTTGGGGCAGGGGTGTGTGTCTAATCTCCCAAAGATAGGGCATTAGTTCCAAAGACAAGCCCACAGAAGCAGCAAGATGTTTGCACTCTGGCAATTCTGAACATAAGGTTCAGTGTGACTGTCAGAGAATGCTCAATATACTCCAATTTTATTTTCTCCTTTTCTTAAAATTGGTCAATATTTTATATAAAATCATCTACAGAATGAATTTGGGGCCGGGGGGTTAGTCCTCACCTGGGGATATTTTTTCCATTGATTTTTAAGGAGAGTGGAAGGGAGGGGGGAGAGAGAGAGAGAAAGAGAGAGAAACACCAATGTGAGAGAGAGACATGGATTGGTTGCCTCCCACACATGCCCCGACCGGGGCTGGGGATCGAGCCTGCAGCCGAGGTATGTGCCCTTGACAGGGAATTGAACCTGAGACCCTTCAGTTGGTGGGCCAACGCTCTAACTACTGAGCAAATTGGCTAGGGCCAGAATGCAATTTTTAAAAGTTGGCTTAAGTTATTACCTAAACTAAGTTACTACCATTCTATAATCTCAAAATAATTAAGGTGTCAACCTTCAGTCAGATATACCTCTATTGCATCTGACACAAAAATACCTAACTTGTCATAAGTCCCTTAATGGGGGTGACACCTTAAAAATATCACCACTTATGGCAGAAAGAAGATGAAGGTTGCTTCATACAATCCCATTGGGGTTTCTATTCTAGTTTCTTCAGCTGTTTAAAGGACTAAAGATTGGGAGTGAAGAAAATGGAAAAAGGTCATTTCATTGCTAGGTACCCAGAGCTGGAGTGAACAAAACAAAGTAGTGCACACAAAGGATTTTTAAATAACAGAATTAAAATAGATACTATATAATATTAATTCCAACAATCTGGCATTTAAAATGAAATTTAAGATATATTTATTATTTTATTGCTTATAGCCTGAATAGATGGTGAGCCTTATAATTGTTTAATTTGATCCTGAAAGAAAAATCTAGAGTTGTAGTCACTGCAATCAGGCAAAGGGTATATTTAAATATCTTCTATCACACTATGGAAATCTCCTAAAAAGTCACAGATTAATTTAACCAAAGCCAAGAAAGGAAAAATTTAGCTAACAAACCATTTCTGAAATTACCTCCTACAAAACAAAGGATTTTTTCTTTTTCTGTCTGATTTCAAAACTCTAAGGAGAGAAACTGGGTAGTTACCACCTACCTATAGATGGAGATTTGAAAGGGTATTTATCAGGAAGATCCACTCTAACTTTCCACACTCCGCCTTCGTATGGTGCTAAAAGAAAAGCAAAAATATTACACATCAGAAATATGTCTCCAAATTTGAAAATAAACCTGAGTGTAAATTAAACATTAAATTCTAATCTCTTTTGAAAACCTTGCAAATTAATTCCCTTAAGAATCAGGGACTTCTTATAATTCTATGTTCAGATTAAAATACTTTTCTTAAAAGGTCTACAGTTAGAAAATGAAAAAAGATTTACTTTCTCCCTATCCCCATTACCTGACTCTTTAAAATATTAAACACTATCCTATTATTTGGTAACTAACAGCCACTTATCTCAATCTACCCCATGGCCCTCCTTCCAAAAAAACACACACACCACTAGAAACAAAAATAAAACAACAAAAAACATTTCCCTAAACCATCATTGTAGCCATCCATACAATTCATGTTTAACACTGTCACACAGAGATAAAAGAGAAAAGCATATGATAACAGCAAGATTTCCTCACTGGTTCTAGAATTCAAATAAATTTACTTTTTAAAAACCACATGTACCACCATCTGTCTTTGATATTTTCACTGTCTATTAAGGAGAGTAAAAAGACTGTAACAGAAGAACAGGCTAGAATACCAATACATGTACTTACTTCCTTGTGGTCCATAAAACTTCACTACAAATTCATTGAGTCCTCCCAGGATTGTAACCTCATGCTTACTCTCAATGCTAAGGTGGAAGGTAAAGGAAATTACACAGGCTTTATGTTACCTAGAAGAACTAAAGATGACATCTCCAAGATATGCCATTTTAAGTGTCACCAACATTTATATAAAACCAATAAAATATTTAAAAGACATAATAAATCTGGTAATTTAGAAGGCAATATATACTCTTGAGAAAAGAATATGAATGGGCTTTAGATTCAGAGACTGGTGTTCAAACCCCAGGACTGCCATCCACTGGGTTTGTGAGCCTAGACAAAACAATGTGAACTCATTCCCAGTGCCTTTGTTCTCTCCTTACAATTCAGGAAAACACCATTTCACAGGATTTCTGAGAGGATTAAATGGGTTAAATACGTAAAATGCATAAGATGGCTTTTTGTACATACTGTATGTAAGTGAAAAACAGGCACTTAGTCTTTCTCCCCTATGTACTCTCTCCTTTCCAGCTGATCTCCAATAAGCCTGTAACATAAATCCAGTATTCCCTTTCGTCAAATTCAAATACTCAGGAAACCCACTGATTCTTCTAAACTGGAAATGCCATGCTCCTAAAATGGATTTACTAAGGAAAGTCCCCACAATTTTCTCCCTGGCTTAGAAAATAGTCAAAATAAAGACACAACCTTGTTACAAGTACTGTGCCACCACATGCAAAAGACCAGCAAAAAAAAAGTTAAAAAAAAATCTTGTCTGAAGTATTTCTTTCCACCTCTTCTTTCCCTCCTGCACCTCCATCCTCCTTAGACTGGGGGGCTCTGGGGCTATAATCATAGAGGACTAACATTTCTGTGTTCTCTTCCTCAAAAACTTACCTGTCCTTGAGACTCTCACCCCTTTAAGGTACTAGGACTAATTACACAAACCTAACCAATCTATCTCAGTAGAGGAGAGGGCTACTGGTCTAATATGGCGTTAATGTCTCTGCCCTGTAGTCTAATTCAATAATAACTCTGATAGGAATTTTAGGTGGTGGTAGAATTTTGTGAGTTCCCCAAAGCCAACTGTAACATTTAAAAAAATACATAACAGATTGGCCTCATCTTAATCAGCAGTACAAATTGCATGTACTAGTATGCAAAACAGAAGTAATCCAAAGAAATTTTAAGTGATCGCTTAAAAAGAAAAAAATAGTATTTTTAAAGGTTTGAAATGAAATACTGCTCTCTCCAATCCTCTGTGCTATAGGCCACAGAACAGAAAGAGGGGCCAGGAGTATTTTTGGCAAAGTCCTTGTTGAAGAGCCTTGAACAATATCCACTTGATATATTAAATAAAATAATTCAGTCTATGCTAATCTGATCTAACCACTTGGTAACAAGCACACTGAAAGGATTCAAACAGTATCCACACTGGAAAACTGGCTTCATTTCTCATGGTCAAGTGGCACATACACACATGCTTTGGTATGCTTCATTCTTCCTGAGCAGGCACCCTCTGACACCCTGCAAATATTCCAAAGCTAATGCTAATGTAATAAGTAGAAGAGCATAACATGTTTAAATTGTTTTAAAACTCTAAAAAGCATCCGTGTGTTAGTAAAAGAAAAAAGTCAAATCTAGTTACAATAAACAAAATTAAATACAAGCAATAAAGTCATCAAAGAAAACACTTAAAAAAACCTTGGGGATAAAACGTCTTTCTTGAGAATGACACCAAAGCCAGAAACCGCAGAGGAAAAGAACAGCAGATGCGAGCATGCATACATATTTAAAACTTCTACACTGTAAAAGACAGTTAAGACACAGGACAAACTGCCCTAGCCAGTTTGGCTCCGTGGTTAGAGCACTGGCCAGTAGACTAAAGGGTCTCGGGTTCAATTCCTGGTCAAGGGCATGTACTTCAGTTGCAGGCTCAATCCCTGGCCTGGGGTGCATTCAGGAGGCAACCAATTGATGTTTCTCTCTCCCCTCCCTCATTCCCTCCTTCCCATTCCCTCTGAAAGCAATGGAAAAAGTATCCTCAGATGAGGATTGAAAACAAAGACAAAGGACAAACTAAGAAGGAAAGACCATAGCATATGACCAAAAATTTTATTTTAAAAAAAAGTCATTACAAAGAAATAAGCAAAATTAGAAACACCCCAACAAAAAAAAAAAAGGCCAGAACAGCCAAGTTAATAAAAGAAAATTCAAATGAGCAAAATTAAGCTATAAAAAGTTCAACTCAGTTTAGAAATGAGACATTTTCAATATAAATTGATAAAGATGAAAGCTGCATAAAACCTAGTGTTCAATGGAGTATGACTTAGTATTCCTGAGGACAAATTTAGCACTATATTCCAAAACTTAAAATGAATTTACTCTTTTATTCAAATTTCACTCCTATGAAGTTATGTTTTAAAAATAAGCAGGCACTACTGGTGGGAGTGTGAAATGGTTTCAATCACTGGGAAACTTGGCGCTGTGAAGTTGCACATATGCACACCCTATGCCCATCAGTGCTACTCCCGACAGATATGTATAGCTCGGTTCACCACAACACATGTCTAAGAATGTTCATAGCACTACTTGTAAAATCCAAAAACTAGGTTACAACCCAAAGGTTCACCAACAATAAAAAGGATAAATTATGGCATAGTCACCCACAGAGTACCACACACCAATACAAAATTAACTGCTACACATTAATGTATGAGTCTCACAGATAGAATGGTGAAAGAAACTAGACACCAATGAGCATTTATGGTAAGATTCCATTTACACAGATTTCAAATAGGCTAAATGAATCAATGATGATAGGATAGTGGTTAGCCTAGTGGGGATTGTGATAATTGGAACGGAGCTTTGAGCATCCTCAGGGAATTTGAGGGTACTAATTATGCCTTTATTGTTCCATTTATCATTGAACTACAAAAATTATGTATGCCCTTTTTGTGTATATTTTGTTTAATAAAAAGTTCTAAAGACATGTCAGATACTATGTTTACTAAAATATTTGAAAAAAATATATTTTTTTATTGATTTCAGAGAGAGGAACGGAGAGGGAGGGAGAGAAAAACATCAATGATGAGAGAGACTCATTGATTGGCTGCCTCTTGCATGCTCCCCAATGGGGATCGAGCCCACAACCGGGGCATGTGCCCTGACCAGGAATAGAATCGTGCCCTCCTGGTTCACTCAACCACTGAGCCACGCAGGTCAGGCACAATATTTGAAATTTTTAAATGGAAATCATCTAAATATTTATCAATAGGAAACTGGTTAAATGAATTAGAAAACATTTATACAATAGGCTGCTACTAGTGTCTACCTCTCCCCACTCAGAGCTCCACTGGCATCTGTTTCCACTCAATGTGGGATATCTAGTAGTCAACTGAATATAGTAGTACAGATAAGGATATCCCAGCCATTAAACAAAACTAAATAAATTTACAAGGATAATGAAAGAATGGAGTAAGGTAGAAGATTAAATGAAGTTAACAAAAGAAGCTGTAACCTAATTTTATAATATAAAAATCTGTAGAAATAGACTCTATCAATCAGAACTAATATGCTATGAATGGCACCGACCTCTGCAATTACTCTTCATTAATCATTTAAAATTATAAGTTATCCACATGGATGTCTCTTCTAGAAAACTGACAGTATCTTTCCTATTCTTTACATGAGGCAACAAATCCAGGTTTCTTCCATTTTGTGGTCTGTTTGGAATATAGTCCAAGCTTTTTCTACTTTCTAGATTCTCTTTTCCAAACAGTCACCCCAAACCTCCTCTTTCCCATAATCCCTGATTATAATTCACATGCCAGTTACACTGGGTCTGTCTTTACACATTATACTGTACATTAGAGAGTTCTTATCGTCCATTTCATATTAAAAGCTAAAAGGAAACAGTGAAACCTTTATAACTTCTACTGAGTTGGTAAAATGAGACGCTGTGCTAAAATTATGCTGCCTTGGAATGGGGTACAGACACTAAATCAGATGGAAAAAGGAATTTAAGTTTAGTTGAATGAAAAACATTGCATTAAAAATAAGCCATTTCATCACCACAAATGAATGACTTGTCCACACAAAAATATAAAATTACTTGACTGTTGTTACCATGTGTATTTATGGTAGAGGCCATGACTTTCTCCTCACTGCTGCAAAGTCAAGGGCAAGGAAGGCAATGAGAAGGCAAGTTACAATGACAAAAGTAATGATCTATTTCTGACATGTGCTTGTCAGGCTAGCAGACTGGCGGAAACTCACCAGAAGCTTTCCCTTTTACTTTCTCTGCTTCAAACCTTGAAAATATCCTTTAGGTATTACTCTGGTGAACATATATTAAACCCCTAAAATCACATTTTAATCACCTCTAAGTTGTGAAATACTGCTTTTTTTGTTAATCCTCACCGAAGGATGTTTTTCCCATTGATTTTTAGAGAGTGGGGGGAGGGAGAAACATCAATGTGAGAGAGACACATGGATTAGCTGCCCCTCGTGGGAGCCCCAATAAGGGCTGGGGATCAAACCTGAAACCCAGGTATGTGCCCTTGACTGGGAATCGAACCCTTGACCCTTCTGTGCATGGGCCAACGCTCTAACTACTGAGCCACACCAGCCAGGGGAATGAAATACTGCTTTTTACTTACTTGTCATTTCACTATTAGAGAATAGTATCAGTATTTTCAGTAGACTAATGGTTAACATTCATAAGAACCCAAGTTCATTTTACTTTTAAAATGCCAGCCACCCACCACCTTATTTTCTCTGAATGGCATTATGATTACACAATCTAATATTTAAAGGCTAATGCCAAACTGTCAAGAGATAACTGACATTCTTGGCAAAACATGTCTAGCAGGATTTTAGAAATGATTTTTATATAGTTCTGGAATTTTCCAGAAAGGGAGCCAAGGCGAAAGACTGTGTCACAGGACTTATGTTAACAGGTCAAAGACCTAGGATTCAGCCAGCACTGTTTCCTAAGTTTACTAATAATGAGTTTATAAAATAAAAGAGGGTGTCTTCCCTGAGCTGCATCCATATGAGGGAGGAATTGGGGTGAAGAAATGTG